CCCAGCCCTGCCCCTGGCTGGTTCCTGCCTCGGTTTCCCCCCGTGCAGGAATGGGAATGGGGACGCAGGAGGGATTAGAGAGGTTTAATCCAGCTTGAAAGCAAAAAGAGGAGATTGGACAGATTGCCCTGAAAAGCTCAGGGGCACAGCACAGCTCAACCTTCAGAGTTACCCCGAGGTGTCCCCCCCCCAGACAGGTTTAATGGGAATCCAGCCAGGAACAGGAATTTGGGATCATCAGAGCAGCTGGATTCTTAACAGGCCTGTTTTAGTATCCCCAGCAAGGAGGAGCCACCAGTCCCTCTGCCAGCTCTGAATATTTCATATTTATCCACTAATTTTCTGCTATTTACCCAATATTTATTCACTATTTATCCACTAATTTGCTGCTATTTACCCACTATTTATTCACTATTTATTTACTATTTATTCACTATTTATCCACTAATTTTCTGCTATTTATCCATTATTTTATTTGCTATTTATTCAGTATTTATCCACAATTTAGTCACTATTTATTCACTATTTATTTACTATTTATTCACTATTTATCCACTATTATTGTCCCTAAAATAAAAAGAGCAAAGCCCCGAGTCAGGTGGCTCTGCAGTCACTCAGAAATCAGCTGTCAAACCAATTCCTTTAAAGAAATAAAGGCCAGGTTTTGCTGGTGACATCAGATTGTTTGGCAGAGCTGCCAGGTGCCGCAGGGAGGTGCCCAGGTGGGTGAGCCCTGTCCTGCCACCTCCTGGTGAAGCCACAGGAAGCTGCTCCCTTCCCTTTAATCCCACTAAAGCCAACCTGCTCAGCCCCAGCCCAAGGGAGGGATGGCCCAGCTGATGTGGGGATGGAGCAAAGCCAAAGTTCCCAACCCCTTCCTGAGGATCAGCACAGAATCCTGCAATGGTTTGGGTTGGGAGGGATTTAAAACCATCCAGCTCCAACCCTGACCCCTTCCACGTGCTCCAACTCCCATCCAGCCCTGCCTTGGACACTTCCAGGGCTGGGGCGGCCCCAGATTCTCTGGGAATTCCGTTCCAGGGAAGGATTCTGACTCCCAGTGCCCTCCCCAGCCCCGGCACTCACGGGTCCAGCTTGAAGACGTACTGGCCCTCGGGCAGGCGCTCCTGCAGGTAGGTGAGGTTGTAGGTGAGCATGGTGCTGATGAGCTCAGCCAGCTGCTGCTTCTCCTTCAGGCTGTAGAGCTGCGTGTTCACCTGCCCAGGGGACAGCACAGAGCTTGGAAACCCCAAACAGCCCAGGTCAGATTTTCTGGAAAAATCCATTCACCCAGGATTTCTCTCCTGGGAAGCTGAGAAGGCCTCAGAGAAAAATGAAAACAAGAATGATCTGATTTGCTTCTCCTGTGTTTGGCTGCTTTGGAATGTGTTTGGAGATTGTTTCATTGGTTTCGTGTCAATTGTTTTGACTCAATGGCCAATCACAGTCAGGCTGTGTTGGACTCAGAAAAGAGAGTCATGAGTTTTTCATTATTATCTTTTAGCCTTCTGTAAGTATGCATTCTCTATTCTTTAGTATAGTTTGAGTATAGTTTAGCATAATAATATGATATGATATGATATGATATNATTATATAACTTATATTATATTATATTATATTATATTATATTATATTATATTATATTATCTTGTATTTTTATACTGTATATATATATATGTAATATTTTTAAAATATATATATTCTACTATATCATATGTTACAGTAGAATGTGCCCCCAGGGTGCAGATCCCCCCTTCCCAGAGCTCTCCAAAGCTCAGAATCCTTTAATCCCCAGCTCCCCCCGGGCCGTGCCCGCCCTGGCTCCGCTCTCTGCAGGTTTGTGAAGTGGATCGAGGACGGCATTCCCGAGGATCCCTTCCTGAACCCGGAGCTGATGAAGAACAACCCCTGGGTGGAGAAAGGCAAATGCATCATCCTGTGAGCTCCGTCCCCCTGCAGGGCTCCCGGAGCTCCGGAACCTGAACCAGCCCTGCCTCTGCTCCTCTCTGCTCCTGTAGCTGTAGGAGGGGGTTTAGAAATGGGGAACCCCCCAGGATGGGCAGCCTGGGGGAAAGGAGCAGCAAAGGCTGCCCAGGGCTGTGCTGCAGCCTCATCTCACACCCCTGCCACCCACAACCCGCAGATTTCTGCAACTTGTAAAGAAGCTTTTTATAAAACCCCCCATTTTTAGTGATTTTAGATACTTTTGTACACTGTAGGATATTGCTTCCCAGCAAACCAGGCAGAACCTGGCCCCTCGAGTTTATGTCTGAAATAAACAGAGCAATACTTCACCATCCATTTTTTTAGATCCATTTTATTTCTTATTTTTTTTTTTTTTTTAACAAAATAAGCAGGTAATAAAAAAGATAATAATAGCCCAAAATCATGGGCACACACAGAGGCCAGCCATGGGTTGGAAAGGCAAACCCAGCTGATCCTTCAGCTCCAGCTTCATCTCCAGCTCAGCTCAGCAAGGTCTTGGAGCAGATCCCTGATGTAGGGGTGCCCCTAGAGCAGGTCCCTGATGTAGGGGTGCCCCTCTAGAGCAGGTCCCTGATGTAGAAGTGCCCCCCTAGAGCAGATCCCTGATGTAGAGATGTAGAAGATCCCCTAGAGCAGGTCTCTGATGTAGAGATGTAGAAGATCCCCTAGAGCAGGTCCCTGATG